GAGTCTTCCAAGAGCCCTATGGAAGGCAAGGATGTTTCCTCTGGTTACACAGCCTTCTCTGGACAAGCCCACTCTCTTCAGCTGCTTTGACCCTAGATGACTTTGTATCCCAAACAATGATATAGGGCAGTTTTTGCCAGGACAACATAAAAATATCCAAGAGAGGTTAAGACTTTAACTTAAAAGCAATAAAATAACAACCATAAAAACTTAAGCTTTTATGGAGACAGCCAGGAACCACAGCAAAAGTATGTATTGAAAACAATGACTTGCAGAGTCTGGCTTCACTGTGACAACATGGGAGCATAAATAATACGTTCCACTGCCTGCTGTCATAGCGAAGAGTCAGTCTTATACTCTGTTAGAAGTAAAAGCAAAATGTTATATTATGGAATATAGGGGTTCGCGAATTGGGATATATGTTAACATCCGAACAGGATGCCACAGTATTCCAAATTGCAGGGAGAACAATGAAGTTTTTATCAATGAGAGCAAACAAAGACTACGGGTTAGTAGGCACAAAAGGGGATACATGGCAAAAAGTTACAAAGATGTCGTTAAACTACAACTTTTCTTGACATTATCAATTCTATTTCCTAGCCCCTGGGAACATGTTTGAACAGGCATTCTTCTTAGACCAAGGTGCATGAACATTCTTGACAAACATCTTTTACCAATTTCTTGCATAAGCTAAAGTCTTGACCCTTGCTCCTTTCTGTGCTACAAGCAGTTACACTTTTACTAGAAGCTGAATTGTTTTTACAGAACAGCAGAAGTGACGATTTCAGGCCCAGCTGCAGTTTAATCCAGAAGGGAGTTTTAATTTTAGTTCTGGGGCAGCCATCTAAGAGGCTGGTGTTTCAAATGACTGCCCACCTGTCTTTCACCAGCATCTGAGTTAGGGCATGTCCAAAATCAGTAACACTCTCTGTTCTTTCCAACTTCATGAAATTTCAAGATTGAATTGATCCTCCTCCAAATCAAATGAGTATGTGATATCTGGAACTTTTCCTCCTCTGC